GGTATGGACCACTACATTCATCGTATGAAACAAAGTAAAAGAGGAGTTGGACAGTACAGAAAACAAGACAAGATGAAGGTAAGTATGAGAATTCTTWCTTCATACAACATCAACTTATAAAGATATCTTATTTAACTAATATTTTTGTTTCCTTAGGTGGTAAAGACATCAACCCCCAAGAAAAAAGTTACCACTTTGATTCCCAAGACCGATGCTTCAATATTCGATGTCCAGGAAGTACTAGAACAAGATTCYGATGGAGAAAATGATTACTATTGGTCTGATGAATAGAGACAGGCAAATGGTAGGGAAGCTAACTCTTCCTCTGCCTTCCTAGACTTAACATGGCATTGAATTCTAGCRATTTGTAGCAGTAATGTAGTAGGGATCTTTGTTAAAATAGTGATAGGGGTATTTTTTATCTTCAGAAGAAAATCATCTCAAACTTACTGGGCCCCTTCCTGTTGCCAAGCTAAAATCCAGGCTTGATTTGCAATTTTAAAGAATCCTTTTCAACTACAAATGTGCATTGTGCCCCTGTGTTATTGTTTACATTGTTATGTGATTCACTTTGTGAAATTATGATTTTTTGGTAGTCCAACTATAAGACATCWTACTGTRACTTTCRAAATCTACCTTARATTGGTTKCCWAAATTTCTCAAATCTTGCAGAAAGCTTTAAGTGACTATGTRCCATTATATCATKATGGTCATAACACATCTAGCGGGAATAACAAGACCAATGTAAATGGATTCCAAAACTTCACCTGAAAAACTRCCATTTTGCCTGGCAGARAAAATGGTGCTTTGCTAAGCATTTCATTTTTTCCAGTGCACAATGCATAGTAGTTGACTATAGGATTCTTYAAGTAATATTTCAAACAYGCGAGAGAGTTCTTACTCCGATTTCCAAACAYTGAARAGTGAGTTGAAAAAACGAGGYGCAGCCTGACTTTGAGGTGTTTGGAAATCGGAGGAAGAACTCTCTCAAGTGTTTGATATTACTTCTCAAACTAATGAATATTTCTTGGAGAAAATCAAAGAAAAAGTTTACGAAATTTAATGCAAATTAAGAACACATTTCCAAACCACCGTCACAATAGTGATTTGCTTTGTTTTTGCCTCATTAAATATTCATGAGTATGAGAAAAATAGAGGAAACATCTACGGCTCAACAAACAAAAACAAAACAAACACAAAAAAGACTGTCCATCTTAAAAAAAAAGAAATGCTTCAACACTTTCACTTGACCAATTTTCTTTCCTTGTCATCATAAACTTATTTAAAATCCAACCATGCTTAGTATACACTGATCAGCATTTCACATGTGGGTATTTTGTGGTGGAGTGTAGATAAGAATACTGTACAAAAACATAATAATTTGGACACAAGGGATCTGTCTTGGATAGAGTTTTTACTTAAAATTTCAATTTATGGAGGAACCAAAGTGTCTGAAATCCTTTTATAAGCAACTTGCTTACCACATGGCAAAAGGACGATGATTAAATCTTGTATATTTGCATTTTTAACATTTTTTCAATGTATCAAAGAAYGTGTTATTGTTAAATAAAACTTTTCACTCTCAAAATGGGTCAAGTTTCTGTTTTAGGATTCAGAATTCTTCACACAGGGCTATAGCCCAGTTCAGCATGGTCTTCATGCTTTCAAACAGTTCAGTCCAACCTTCAGTATCATTCCTTTGAGATTCTTTGCTTAACAACACTGGTAAACAAAGAAATGATACCCAAGGAAATGGTGTAGCTAGGGAAAGAAGAGAAGACCTTAGACAGGGTATAGTTTTTTCCCATTTCTGGCTGCATTTATTTGGTATTGGATGAATCTTCAACTGGTCAAAAAGTTGTGCATAGGAGTAATACCGTTCACATGAGACGAAGATCGATGCCTAGCCATGCAAATTTGGAAAAAGGTTAAAGTAAGATTTGAAAGTGCTATGAAATCGTCAATTATTACACAATATAAAAATCCCTTTTCCAAGTTCAAAGTTCCATGAAAAAGATCATGGAAAAAAGCAGATTTTAAGTAATCCCTTGGGATTCCTGTGTTTTTGGCTGACCATATCCTTGATACATAATTACGTCCTAAACTTCATCACCACTGCATTGTTTTTTGTACGTTTTACTTCACAAAAAATCCCATGGATTTGCATTCCTGTTTCTGTAATTCTTTCAAATTCGTCTGTCCACGTCTTAGTAGATATTCTATTCTCATTCCATCTGTTTTTGGTAGAGCAGCATTTTTACGGAATTCTCTTCTAATGTGTTCTGTAAAGCCATCTTTTCCTTTGCTTGCTTTGAGCAGTCCTCGATATAATTTCAACACTTCTTTCTGTAGTCTGCTATATACCATGATGAGGATTCTATTCTTGCCTTATGAATAGTATAATATGTTTTCCCAGCTAAGTGAAATAATTTTCTAAATGACTACAATGATGACATAACATTCACTCTGTCGACCATTTTACTTTTGGCGCACTTCTGTTTTGCGCAGGCTCATTTAAGATATTATGGGAGGGGTGGGTTATATATATAGATTGAAAATTATTAATGTTTTACTTAATAGCTCTAATTGACCCTATTTTTCTGTATTTTTTATCGTTGATGTTATCGTACCTTGGGAAGAATAGCAAAATAGTTAAATCTGTGGTTCTGRAGTTCACATTTTTAGCATTTTACAATTCTCGCCTTACTATACCCCCCTTAAAACTATAACCGCTGACTTATTTACAAGGAAACATGCGACCGGACGAGCACAAGAAAAAGAAAAATGCASAATATAAGAAAAAACATGGAATACAAGCTAAAAAAGAAAGCAAGAAGGAAGAAATAAAGAAAGATAAATCAGAGAAACCTCAAMATTCTGAAGAAAAGCAAGAAAACACTTCAAAAAATGCCGTTTGTGTGAGTATCAGATATACCTTCTGTCCATCATTTCTGTTGTAGTTTTGCAAAGGTGAGAGAGTTGTTTGAACTTTGTAAGCATAATTCTTATTTGAATAAAGGAAACAAGACGTTTTTCAAGAAGGAAAGTAACTAGTAATTGGGACAGATATGAAGATTCAGAAGGTGAGTGTTTCTTTAATGATAAAAAAATATCAGCAAAAAATATCAGCAAAAATTATTAGTGATAATTGGTAATTAGTGATAATTAAAGTGACACAAATTAGTGGTAATTAAAGATATATTCATATAAAATGCCTCACAGTCCACTATTTTTTACATCCCACTTTTACACTTAGATGCTTTTTCTTACAAATCCTAGCTCCACTCAGTGAGATTTTTTGCTTTCATTCAATACTTAATTGGTATGATTACAGTAGGTGGATCCGATGATGCTTACCAGACTATAGGGCGAAGAGGAGCTGACTTTACCACTTTGATAGAAAGAGCAGGTCAGTGGCTGTCTGGAAGTTTAGTGTCCCAGTAAAGCCATGATCACACTATATGCAAAACTCTTTTACCGCCTGCCCCTGATATATATGGTATTGGATGCGGTATGTTCAGGAGGATCTATGAATTTTCCATGAACACAGTATAGGTCATAATGGACTGCTTCTTTTAGAAGCATCACCAGATAACACAAATCCCCATGAGCACAGTTAGGTGTACAGCCATGAAAGGGTGCTCATTTAGCCTCAGTTGGTATGTGTTCTCTTTAGGGTAGGGTAGACTCCTAGTCAATGAATCTAACAGTAGAAGATTATTAATTTCATTAACATGTGAGAAGATTATTCATCAGCTTGTGACTTGAGCATTGTACAATGCCATGCATAGAATATTGAGTGTGGTGGTAATGTGTGTGAGACAGTGAAAAGTGTCCCCAATTAGTACAAATTAAAGAACTGGAATGACAGTATAGACTCTTAAAAGAAAGAAATTTTAAAAATATACTTGATATCTTATTTCTTTGCTTAGGTGACTCCCATTCACAATTCAGATTTCAAGCTGAGAAGGAATGGGAAGAAGAATCAATTGGCATTGGCGTTCAGGTACATACCAATCAGGGTCTAGAAGTGAGGGCTCTTAACCGAATCACACACAATTTTATCCTGAAATCCTGTGTCCTGCAACATTTTGCCAACTTTTTTTGCATTCAAAATATTCAAAGGAGTTTCAATTTTTTATTTATTTATTAATGTTCTCATGTTTTTCCCGAAAATCTGAAAGCAAAGTCTCTCATCCCATCATTCCCAAAGTCACGGCCCATGCCAATATTCCAAATCACAAAGGATTTTTCTAGTTTGCCAGATTCCATTCTATATTTTATCCATTTCCCTGCTCCTGTGAATACTCTTCCAGACCCTGACCAGTGGTAAAGTAAAGGATAACTTCTGTGAACATTATACAAAAAGTTTAAACACTGTAAAATTCCATGGATTTTCACTGGAACACATAACTCTTATTCTACACAAATACAAGCCTTACGCAATCAAGAATTTGAAACTCATGTGTTATCAGGGACTAAGGAGCATTGTTTAGAGTGGGGGGCTAATCTAAAAAATAAATCTCTTTACTTAAGTGTCTAGTATAATCTGAGGGGTCCTGGGGAATGCCTCACTCCCTCCGAAAATTTCAAAATTAAGGCCCTTGGAAATGTGATTTCTAGTGCTACAGTTTCAAGGGGCAATTAAAAATAGATATTTATYATGTTAAAGTCATGATGTCACAGCTTTAAGGTGACTGCCTACTTTTGGAAAAAATATTAAACTTTTTTAAAACTTCAATTTTCTGTATCGAAATTTAATGCTGATTCCAAATCTGGAAAGAAAAACATTGACTCATTGACTCCGACGAAGGACTAACGTCCGAAACGTCAGTTCCTATTTTCACTACGGTGTAAAACTTATCAATCTACGATAACTGGAAAGAAAAATAGGGTGTCCGAGCTTGTTTTCAAGATAATCAGCATTTAGTGGAAGCCTACGCAATATGTGCTTTTGGAGCAAATATTGCTCCACCGGAAGTGATTAGAAAAAAAATTAAGATTCATAAGATAATAATTATTTGCAGACTCTATGATTGCATGAATGAAGGCTAGTCAATCATTCAAAGAGATACGTTGATTTGTCATATTTTGTAGTTTTGGTGCTCTTAAAAAATCTCATAAAGTTGAACAAAATTCCCTACAAAAATCTATTTTTTCATGTGTTAGAATATTGAACTTATTCTAAAACTTTTAGAATAAGTTAAATATAACCTAGATTTTTAGGAGTTTGTTCAAATATACTATACATATATATATATATACTATATGTATAGAGAGTCCCGTGCAAAATTTGAAGGTTTTCCCCTGTTGAAGCTCAAAACGCGTATGGTTCTTCAATAAAATCTAGTAGATTTTTCAGTGGTTTTTGAGCACACACACATCCGTGGGTTCAAATCGAACATTCAAAAGTAGGCAGTCACCTTAAGCCACTCAATAGAAAATCTTTTTTGCCTATGGGGAGCTTATCAATGATTTGTTTCTCTTAGGAATCCCAAGATGTTCTGAAAATTAATTTTGAGGATTTAAGCCAGTCTCTCAATTCTCTGCCCTTGTACAAGAAACTGAACATTGAGGAAAATGTAATATATGTAAGTAAGATTGCTTGGTTTGGGTTGGAAGTCCAAGTATGTGTCCTGGAAAGTTCAATCCTTCTCTGTGAAGGGAGTTATCATCTGAAACTATCAGTAGATGGTATTCTACTCAAACCCTCCCCTGGAAACTAAAACCCCCATCTTGCCCTCTCTTGGGGATGTCTGGATATTTTCTGGAACTAAATTACCGTCTGGTTTAATAGCTCATTTGGTAAGAGCAATGGCCTTTGTGTGGAAAGTCGTACGCTATAGTTCAAGTCCTGGCCAGCCAAACATTCTGGGTTTTAAAATAACCGAGGAGAAGGTGCTGTCTTTGTAATTATGTCTGCATCTGCAAATGCTTTGACCTTCAAGTCTTCTCAAATATGGACTTAATACTATAGGCCATGTCTGTTCATTATAACCTTGGCTATAAAAGGTGGATGTAAAAGACCCACTGAAGATGCTGGTATTATGACCATCTTCAGTGCCAGTACTTATACTTCAGGGCCCACAGTAATTGGTGAGATATCTGTCAATGTGACCCTGTCTTCAGAGGAAAGTTTAATGCAAGATAAATAAATATAGTTATGTCTTATATTTAAGGGTTATGATAATGATCAAATGGATTTGACAATGTAACCTTTTTTTATATTATTGATATTATATTGACTTGAATCTGTGTTTATTCTACAGTCAGAGCATCAGGAAGTTGATTATGATCAAAGAGCAACTACAATAAAAGGGATGCTMAAAGGTATAGATATCCATGATGCACTAGAAAACATTGCAGAGGTCAATCAAAAAAGGTCATCAAACCTTTCACTGAATCAACAACCCAAGCCACAGTTGAACTTCAATTTTCTCCCTTCCCGAGCTGATTCTCCAACAACTCAAAATAAAAAAGACACCACAAATTTAAGTCAGTCAATGAAAGATCCATCAAGTGAAACTTCTTATGGGCTGAATGCGAGTGCTRTTACTGGTACACTTCATTCTATGGGTGTCATAAAAAAGACTCGTCAACAGGATGACGATGAGTTGGATTGCTTGCTTTCGCTTGAGAATGGCCAACATCAGGAAAATTCCATTGAAGAACCACTCGATGCCAAAAAGGTACCTAACAACATTCCTCTTCAAATAGATTTTAAAATGCCAGATACACAAGCAACAGAAATTGATGCAACAAAAACCTCACTCCCTCTGGATAAAAACACCACATCTCAGGACCATAGCCCTTCAGGTAAAAAATCAGAAACACCCTCAGATACTCAGAAACCCAAAGAAGACCTAGAGGACTGGCTAGATAGTGTTCTTGGTTAGATATACAGTATTTTATACTTTAATAATAGAACAAAGTCAAGATAAACTATTGTATAACTATTTAGTATTACACTGCAGCATTAAATTAGAAAAATAATGTTATGTACAATGTTTGAATCAGCATGCCAGCTGACTGCCACACATCCCAAAATTAACCAAATTATTTTATGGAGTCACCAGCATGAGTATAGTCAGATAACTGGATAACTTCTTAGTATAAATACGTTGTACAGTAGCATTAACGTATGAAAAGTAATTTTATGTTGTCATTTTATTTTATAATGAGGAATACACCACAGCAATATTATTTACCACAGACACGATTGCAAGTAAGTTAACAACTCATCCTCAATTGTATGAATTTTAAATTGGATTTTCTCATCAAAAATGGAAAAAAATCTTTAAGAGTTCAGTTAAACATAAAATTATACACCTAGCRAAGTGATATGAAATACAAAATATTTCCATCCAACTCTTATATACTATCAATGTTTTCAGTGCTATGAGCTGATTTGGAGACAGGGACAGATCCTGGAATTTGTTGAGGGGGTGTCCCAAATAAACAATTAGGTTTCAACAATTATGCATCGTAAATGTTTCTTTTGCTTCAAAAAAGCTGAGTAATTACTGTGCTTGGGGAAGGGAAGGGGGTGTCCAGTGCACTGCAGGATACCTGGATCCACCCCTGACAGTAGTAACAGGGATAGCAGGCAATAGATTATACTACCAAAGAAATAAATACTGCGAGTACATACTGAAGGTACGGGGAACAACTCTAATGATGTACAATGAAAACAATGGTAAGATCTCCCACTCACACATTGTTTATTATTTTCAACACTAAACTAGTAAACTATGACCCTGAAAAGACCTCTAGCCTAGGGTCTAATGTTTTCCCTTTCAGACCACTGGTCATTCTCTTAAGAATTAGATTCTTCTTGATTGTTCCAAGTAAAAAAAACAACACATTTTAAAGTGCAGCTTGAAGCTGCCAAGCTCACATTTATATTGAAATCTGCTATAGGAGCCACAAGGAAAAAAACGGATTCCTAAATTGGGAATTGTTGGGAATTTACTTGAATTCCCAATTCGAACACCAACGTTGGGAATTATTGTTGGGAATTTCCTTCTAATACCCAATAGAAAAACAAAATTCCCAACAAACTAACATTGGGAATCAGTGCAACGTTCCCAATCTAGTTCTCTCTGGGAATTGGATGGGAATTCATTGGGAATTCAAGGAAATTCCCAACAAATTCCCAATTTGGAAATCTGGGTTGTTTTTTTTTGTGAGCTAGTTCCGAGGACTTCCAATAGTATAACCATGAAATACATTTGCCTTGCAGATTAAGGTTAAAGAGGTTTCTGCTTTTTGTGGGATAAGAATAGACCCTGTTACCTTCATATGCAAATTGCCCATTTCAGACCTCACTTGACATTCTCTAAGAATTGTTCTTTTACAATGAATATTTAAAAATATTTACATATTAGAATCAAGTCCCAAGAGTGGCATCACATGGTCTGTAATAGGRCAACAAACAAAGAAGGTAAACAGCTCTATTGGCGAATTACAAGAAATGTTATTACCAGATCTGACAACCACTTCTAATATCAAAAATATCACTAAAACTAAATCATACCAGAATTTCAAAAATTATCTTGACAACACTGACAAATATCATCCAAATCACTGACTCTTCCTTGACGTCACTCTCATCCTCCGGCGACAACCAGTGTTTGTTTTCCTGACTGCCRGAATAATGATCATAATCAATGACCACAGTCATGACATACTTTGAAATAGGAGAATGGATATGCCCAAACACTGCTATCCCAATTGGACGCTCAAAATGTTTTGGAATGGTTACAATGTCTCTACCACAAGTTATTGATTGCAGATCATAATTTTCAAAGTCAGGCTTTGCAACATGCTCAGAAACATAAATATCGGCATCACCCTCTGTACTGTCCAGTATTAGAGTTATTTCGCCTTCTCTTTGTAATGTAAAATATGTGTAATTGCCAGATCCCACTTCTCCTCTGAAAGTCTGAATAATTTGTTCACATTTGATGACATTAAARCAAAGAATTATTCCAAAGAGTGCCGTAACTTTGAACACGTTACTTATTGATGTTTTCATGGTAAACTTGTGCCAAGCCAACAAAAAGGTCCTGAAAAAAAGAGGCAACAATTTCGTGACATTTGATAAAAATGTACAGATTCTTTAATAATATTCCTATATTTGGCAAAATTAAACTTAAGAAAAACTTAAATATGTTCGCAAATAATAATTGTTAATAAGCTAAATCATATATCTATCAATGTGGTTTCATGTTGAATTTGAATTTAGAAGTATTAATATAAGATCTTAAATTTCCAAAAAAATCAATAAGTTCTTAATTCTGGAATAAGATTCTCAATGAAGAACCACAACAATTATAAAGGAACGTAAAGTAAGTGTATCCAAACATGACGTCCAAACTACTTGAAATTTGAATAAATTTAGAACGATAATCTACATAATTTTTACCTGTTAGGCTGTAAAGAGATGCATCAGTGAAGCTTTCTATCTTTTTGGGGCTAAATTCTTTGGAGAGATGGCTTTTTAAGGGGGGAAATATGATATCTTTGATAGTACAAATATTCAATTCAAACTTCGAACTAAATCACTCGATGTCAAATAATTTGACCCGACCCAGTGTTCACGGACGAGCCTCTATTTCAAACTACAAATCAGAATCGGCTAGGGGTRGGGTAAAAGAATTAATAGACAACTTAGTCGATCACACCTCAGTGACCACACTATGCCGGATAAATTTGAATCCGCAACTTTGACACCGAAACCGAARAAAAAGACAAATAAAATGTTTCGCGTGCACACTAGTCCGATCAGAGGCGGCAAAACCGCTTCATTGCACATCTGAGCATGTGCATCGAAGTTGAAATTGAGCCCGTGGTGAATTTTTAGCCTTCCCGCCATGTTCCCATGACAATCATGACGTCATCGTATTCGAAAAAATTCGGATACGAAATGTTCTCCGTCCACACTCGAGACCGTATTCGAAAAAATTCGTTTTCGGTGAAGAATCATTCCGGATTCGCCCGGACTAGTGTGGACGGTAGGCCTAACCGAATAAATAAAAATTCGGATTTAAATTTATCCGGCATAGTGTGGACGGGTAATTTTAGAGGATTTTTTTTTTGTCATCGCGGTTACTTGGAGCCAAAATTTCTAATCAATTAAAGCTTTTTTAATGGCAGCCTTTTTGGGCTTATAAGTTTATTTATGGGTCCTGTTGGCACACTTCTGGCAAGAAAACGCGGGAAAATGAGACGCGTGCGCGCACTCGAAGGAACGAAATCATAAGAAAAGCTTGAAACATCTTTTCTTGAGTCATCGTCTTCCTTTTTATCGTAGAAATGTCCGTCGTTGTCAACTGCAAGTCTCTTACCGATGGGGTAACATAATCTTTGAGCTATGAGCAAAATTGGAGGAACAAAAGAACTGTYTTTCCATTGCAAGTTCTGGATTTCATCGCCATAGAGTTCTGGGGTTTCATCTACTACCATAATTWTCAAGATGGACAACGTGAAATACCAGTATCCAACGTTCGGTTTTACCCCGAGCAAAAAAGGCATGAATTACTACTCATATGCATTAATCGTAGCGGTTTATAYCTAATCATTTATGATGCTAACACGGTTACCGTACGAAAATTTTATAACCGCATATTGAATTTCTGTAACTTTTGAAAACAACTTAGAACTGCTATCTTTCTTGACAAAGTTTGATGATTCACATCTTATGAGCTTTGTGCAGGGATATTACCGGGATATTAAGCCGGATACCTCTCCGTGGCTTTTATGAATAGCAACTGACTGGCCTTTTCCAACGCTTCTCTAAAACCTCTGCTCGATATTTAAACTAATTTACTTTTAAAAAATTATTCTAATCTATTGATTAAAATATTTTCACGAACAGATAGCATACAAATGGTGTTTTTGTTCGTTTTTGTTATCCGAGATTGAGAATATAGCAGAAAGAAGCATAGCAAATCAAAAGTTGTTTTTTTTTATGAATTCTTTACATACAAAAATGCAGGTGAAACGATGGCTTTGTCAGTTCAAACCTCAAAAAGAACAACCCAAATATTTCTAATCATTCTCAAAAGTGTCAAATTTAAATAGCAACATTAAAAAATGAGTTTTGAATGTTCCCTCGACCTTTATACTTTTCTATATGAAATTTGATATCTGGCTTCTAAATTCTAAAGTAAGAAATARTAAATCCCCATTTTATAATAAATTGTGGAACTGAAACTTTAGCATTTATTACTCATCTTTACCTCAAAAAATATACACTCTTAATATTTTCATTTTCATCTCAAGTTCACGTAAAGCGTTACTATTCGGCTTTTCCGTTTAAATGGTTTCAATTCAGAGTTATTTAGACACAAAAAAGGCCAACGCGTTTTTTCAAAAGCACTTGTTCGAGTTTAAAATTTAGTCGTGTGCCGTTGGTGTTGAAAAGAAAACTTGTTAATGAAACAACCTGCGAACATTATCGAAAACAAGACAATACATTTGAATGACTCTTTGTGCACAAGCTGTACACCAAAGCAGAGAAAGTGAGGGACCTTTACGATGGACACATGGAAAAATCATTAGAGAAGTGTGCAAAGTATGGGTTGAATTATAAATCCAGCAGGTTATATATCTATATCTTACATCTGGTAACACCCCAAAATAACATAGGGCAAARGCAGATTTTTTTGTTTTATTTTTTCGTTTGTCAAAACACAGAATATTTTTGTGGCGCTTCTTTAATAATAAGCAATMACGGAACTCTTTTAAACCCAGAAAGGGTATGTACGTATCTTTAGGACAGAGTTTCAGTAACTTATATAGTTCTGTCTGCATCGTCAAATCAAATCAATAAGATAGGCATTTAAATATTCAGTTTTTAAAAGATYATCGGTTATAGAATAATAGGCTTAAGATTCGTCGATTTAAACCGGTTTCTTTGTTGTACAAAACCGGCTGTTCAGCTCTTGTTTTGCAGACTTCAATATGAGCAATAATATATCAAAGAGAGTGAGAGATAAAGAAAAGGCTAAAGTTGACAATATTTTCGTTGTTGTTAGTTTAATAATGTGTGGATTTAGAGTTGTTCAAACTAACTAAGTTGTACGCTATCTTGGTTTATTCTTACACACATACGTTAAAAAGGGAAGGGTTTCCCAGTAGATATAAGAACAGCTTCATGAYTGCGTGCGCACTAGAATACGATAAATTTAATTAATTTTATTAAGTGTAGATTTAAGTAATTCATAGTATAGTTTTTGTACATTTTCTGTATTTAAGCTTCAGCCTTTGGCTGCATAAGTATATTTTTAATAAAGCATCTATCTATCTATCTATCTATCTATCTATCTATCTATCTATCTATCNCTATCTATCTACCTATCCATCTATCCAGCGTACAAACGAAAACCGGTAAAAAAAAACTCGTATCCAAATAACAACGGAACATTTAATCATATTTTATAAAACATTTTTGATTCGGTTTTWAAAAAATT